TACAACCTCGGTTCTCGACAGGGAGGGAATCAACTATGTCAGGGGCGGGTGAGTATACAAAACTCGGAGAAGACATTATTCAAATCCTCATCTAATCCGGTCATCAGAAACGCTGGCTTCTTCGTCTACATCGACGTGTCACCATATCTCCCCCGTGACGATTATCTCACCCCGCGAAACCGGGAATTTGCTCTTGCAGAGAGGCTCGTCGATTCTGGTGTCTTCTTGCACCCCGGGGAAGAGCATTCGAGGGAGATTGGGTGGTTCCGATTGGTTTTCTCACAGGAAGAGGAGATATTGCAGGAAGGCTTTAACAGGTGAGTCATTTGCTTTATTCCTATGTATTGGCTCGGTCGGTTAATTGATGGATTGTTTTGTGATTTATAGATTGCTGAGTGTTTTAAAGTCAAGTGCATGAAGTATTCTCCATGTCACCATCAAGACTTGGAAGATACGGGGAAAGTATGGCATAAAAACGAAGGACAATGCAATCAGAGGTGGTGAATGCTTAGATGTAAAGGAATAGAACTGAAATATTGAGAATGCTATACGCTATATGTTTTATTTGCTTTTGGCAGAAGTCATCAAGCATGATTTTTGAAACTGGAAAATGAGATTGTATTTTTCAAAGCAATGTCGTTTATTCGACGTTGACAAACTGGAATGTAGGAGTTCCTGGCACGGCATTCTCACCGGCCAAGCCCTCCCGCTTCTCACCAGTACCAACAACCTCACCAGTCTTGCCACCCTCATCAACAGCAATGATCTCAATCTCCTTGAAACCGGAGGTGCGCTTCAGACCACCCACCATCTCGGAAAGAACGACGAACTCATCGAAGGGAAGCTTGCGATCGAAGACAGTGGCGGGGGACTCGCCAGCGTTGACCAGACGGCGCTTCAGGTTCTGAACGAAGGGCATGGCCTTCTTCATCTCACCGAACTTGCCAACCTTTGCGCTGAGCTCCTTGTCGTTGAAGGAGAGGTTCAGCGCGTCGAAAGAATCGCGGACCAGGTCAATGTACTTCTCCTGCCAGTTGGGGAACTTCTTGGCAACGAAGATGATAAGCTTCTTGGGCTTGCGTGGGTCGAAGGCAATGTTCTTGCCCTTGGAGAGCTTCTTGGTGAAGTTGCCCTCGGAGCTCATGATGTTGCTTGCGGTACCACGGACGTAGTTCTGAGCGGCGGTCAGCTCGGGGGAGGGCTCTGGCACAGCAGGGAACTGGGCGAAGTGAATAGACTCGGGCTAAAAGGGGTTAGATCAAGGTTGAGCATAAAGTGGGGTAAGGAAACTGACCTTCTTGAGGACCTCGAGCCAGATGTGCTCAGCCCAGTGAGGAGTAATGGGTGCCAGCATCAGAGCCTGCAGCTCAATGTAGCGCATAATGGTATCACGGTGCATACCCACGCCAGCAGCAGTGGAAGCCTCGCGGTAGCTGTCACGGGAGCTAGTGAAGTCATATAGACCGGACTTAAGAGCAAGCTTGAAGTCGGTGCTAGATAAAAGAGTTAGCTATCGATGTCAATGAATTAAATGGAATGCGAAGCAAGAGTGCAAAGCAGTAAAGTCCACTTACTCCTGGTAGTGCTTTTGGGTCTCGCGAACTAGGCTGTTAAGTTCGTTATTGAAAAGCTTGTCAGCGAAAGCATCGGCAGGTCCAGTGCGCAGAGTCTCGTCCTTAGCAATCTCCTCGATCCACTCCTTCAAGGTGTGGAGACGCAGGATGTTGCTGTTGGCAACAGACTCCTCAAAGTTGGCATCTTCAATGCTGTCACCAGCATCGGCAAATGCAATACGGGTAGCATCGGCGCCGAACTTGTCAACGGCATCCTTGAGAGTTAGGAAGTTACCGGTACTCTTACTCATTTTCTCGCCGTTGAGGAGCAAGTGGCCGTTAGCACGGACACCACGGGGCCAGTACTCCTTGGGGAAGAGAGCAATGTGGATGTAGAGGAAGAAGGTCAAGTGGTTCTGGATCAGGTCCTTGCCGGAGACACGGACATCCAGAGGGTACCAGTATTCGAATTCACGGCGCATTTTCTGCAGAGACTCCTTGCTGATTCCACTCTTAGAGATGAGTTCGTCGCTAATCTCCCTTCTTGTGAAGACGTAGTCCCAGACCTCATCGGTCATCTGTTCGGCGGTCACGTTCAGGGAGCCGGTCGTCTTGCCGTATCGGTCACCGTGAAGGAGGTGGGCGATGGTGTAGTAGGCCATATAGACGGTACTGTCACTCAGACTCTCAACCAGGAACTGCTTATCCCATGGCAGCTTAGATCCAAGACCATAGGTTCTGGCACATGCCCAGCGGTTCAGCCAGGAAAGATTCTTCTCGAAACCGTTTTTGCATTCGGCGGAGTAGGTGTTGAGGTTGTTGACAACGTAGTTCAGGGTCTCCTGCTGCCACTCGGCATCATTCTCACCGTAGTTCAGGAACCACTGGCCCAGGTAGGCAACAACACAGTCATCACCACTACGGCTGACAACCTTGCCCATTGGGTCGGCGAAGGGGAAGGCATCACCACTGTCGTAGAGGTCCTTGCGGACCTTGTCCTTAGCCTCACTGACAGGCTCGCCCTTATATTTACCAACTAGCATAGTACCCTTGTAGAAACCTTCCATGTAGGCCAAGTCCTTGGCCTGAGCAAGCTGGGTGACGTCCTTGGGGGAGTTGATCTTCAGCTCCTTGACCAGAGCAGGGGCGGTCAAGCTGCCGTAAGTGGGAGTGTCAATAAGCGGGAATATTTCCAGCTCAGCCCACTCCTTCTGGATGCCGTAGTACTCGGCCTTCTTCGCCAAATCCACCAGGGTGGCGTAATCGTCAGGGCTGTCGGAGGGAACAGAGGTAACAACACCAGTACCCTTGGCTGCCGAAACACTTTCCATGGGCAGGATGCGAATACCCTCGGTGTGGAAAGACAGAGGCGCATTGACTAGTGTTCCGACGAAGGCGGAACCCGGCACCTCAAGAACCAGCGGGAGCTCATCTTGGGTCTTGGGGAACTTATCGCTGAAGAAATGACCCTGGAAGGCCATGTTCCAAGCCGCTCGCTTGGTAACGATAATGTACTCCTTCTCCTTGAGCTTGAAGAGACCGTAGTTGATCTTTGGGCCGACGAAGCAGCTAGTCTGACCGTACATGGTCTCGGGACGCAGGGTAGCAGGAACGAAGTATACCTTCGCGTCATCCTCGATCTTTCCTTTCACGAGCTCTGCAATTTTAGGCGACCACTCCTTGACCTGGAGCTTGATCGCAGAGTATTCCTGAGGACCGATACCCTCACCCTCGGTGCGGTCGTGGTCCATGCAAGGCTGGCCGTCCTTAGGCGAGTAGATGGTGTAACGGTTGCCGTACATGATCTTACCGAGCTCGTGCAGGCGGTTCATCTGCCAACGAACGAAAGCATCGTAGTAGGGGTTAGCGTCGGTGGTGACGAACTGTCGGCGCCAATCGATGCGGGCACCGATGCTGTCGAGATCACGGATGGCAAGAGGAGGGAAGTGTTCGAGCCAGTGGGCAGCGTCGGCAAACTTGTGAATTTCCTCCAGAGGAACGCCAATTGCCAGCATGATCTGGAACTGGTACTTCATCTTCACGGTCTTGGCAGCGGCCTTGCTCTTCTTGCCAGAGAACTTCTCACCTGCCTCGGTCTTGACTTCTTGTGTGGGGGCTGCGAGGAGGTCCTCGGCGGCCTCCGCCTCCTCATTGTATCCTTCGAAACCCTGGCCGAACTTCTTCACCTCGTTGGCAAGCTTATCGGCACAAGCCTTGATAGGCATACCGGTGCAGTGGAAGCCCAGAGGGAAAAGGGATCGCTTGCCCTCCATGCGGGCAAATCCAGCCATGAACTCGACCTTACTAGCAGTAAAGCTGTGTCCGGCGTGCAGAGTACCGTTCATGTAAGGATAGGCCATGGTACCGAAGAACTTGGGGTACTTCTCACGGAGCTCGGCGGGGGTCATGGCACCCTGGGGGGATTCCTCGAATGAGGGCGCATCGACTTCGAAAATCTTGTTCTCCTTCCATTCTGCTTGGTACTTCTTTTCGATTGCGACTAAGGTGTCTCGCTTTTCGGTCTGGCAGGCGGGGTGTTAGTAAATAAAAATCGGGGATGGTGGGGAGGGAGGGGTATAGCCACATTTTCCAATTTGAGGGTGTTCTTTGAGCTGTTGCTCGGATCGAGCTCAGCTGCGGATGCAACTGCGGCGGCCATTTTCCTGATTGTCAGAATTGGCCTATAATTCCCTTGAAGAGCGGAGGGGAGCAAAAGAAGCGCGGGGCGAGATATAAAACTGTTTGCTCAGTTTGCTCAGTTTGTGAGTCAGGTAATACGAGTGTATTGTATTTTACGGCGGATTCCACACTCCAGATGTCGTTTAAAATGCTGCATTGGTGTGTAAAAGAGATGATAATTAAGAGATCTGAGGCAGGATATATATATAAATCTAGTCAAAAGATTAATTTTCATTTTCTATCTGTCTCTAAAGTGAGTTTCGATTAAACGTCTTCTATGTGACCAGATCAATACCATCTATAGATTGATGTCGCACGTGACTATCACGGAGCAACTTCTTCGCCGACAAGCGCATCTGCGATAAATTTCCCCGATCAACAAACTCGCAATTCCGGACCTATATTACCTATTATTGAGCAAGTATCTTGCCAATTAGTCTTTTACTCCCGCCTTATCCCTATACCCACACGTCTCATCGCATTAGGGCCAGTCCCTGTGCGGAACAGCCTTCATCATGGTCAACTTGTTCAAGCGGCTTCGTAGGCTGCAAACTGTATGTATAGCTTCTCTCAGCTCTCCCTACCTGAGCTTCCCGAAGTAACGTGGAATTGATATACTAATATAAAATTGTTTCTGTCAACAGAGAGTAAGCCCGAAACCCCGTTCCTCGAGATCTCCGACCCTGCAACCTCCGAGGCCGAACTCGTGTCTCCCACAGTCTGGCCGATATGCAATCAATCAACTGACTCGTTCTTTCACTGTTCCAGATGCTCGAAACCAAAGTCGGCACAGGTGCAGCCATCTTCCCCAATCTCACCTCCGCATCAAAAGAATTCCCAGCCGTCACCCGACTCCACCTCACATATGCACGCAAGATCGACCAGGGCCACGGAGGCGCGCGGCATTTCTGGCGTAACTGTCTTCCGCGACTGAAATATCACAACCCAGGCGTGCCGATGACTGTGGCACAAACCTCCAACCAGCAAGGTCCCGCAGCATTGACAATTTACTTCGCCGAACGGGTCGGCAGCGCCGCAGCGGCTCTCGCAAACGAAAGAAAGGTCGTCGATGAGCTTGCCCCGGCCCCCGAGGCCAACGAGCAATCGGCTGTTTTGGATATCAAGAACCGCACGTACCAACAAATCTGGGATCGTGTCCAGGCCATGACGGGCGCGAAGGTAGTCCCCGCCACCAGCGAAGACATCGCGCTGGCACAGAAGTTGGCGGAGATCAAGAAGAAATCTGGCCCGGATCGCGAACGTGTCCAGGCTATCCGGCAGGCGAAGAAAGATCAGGAGCGCATGCTCGCTGAGGCTAGAGGCCAGGTGGATAAGCAAGTGTAAGATAGTGCAGTTTTGTTCTAGTGTTGTCTTTGGATTCGGTTGATCCATCCAACTGGTTTCTTCGTCTTGAGAAATCGGCTGTCTGTAGCATAGCATCTTTTTCCCGTTACGACTGTGTACTATTTCTTGGAATATTTTTTTAATGCGCATGTCGCATTCCCTTGTTATTCAGATTGCGTGAACACAGAAGTAGATGGAGGCGCATAGGTATCAAATAGCAATAGCAATAATTGTGGATTCAACACCTCGCAATATCAACGCTGAAGTATGAAAGACGGCCTAGAACAGATTGAGAGAAAGATTACCCCATGCAAAGCTATAATATGTCCGAACAATGACTAAAAGAAGAGAATACATTCGCGAGAATTGCTACATGACCTGGAACATTGTTAGCAAGAAGCATTACCTGGTACCAGGTTAAAGACATACCTCAGCGATTGACTGCCGCTCAATGATTGATTTCTGTCTCTCGTTGCGCGAAACACGGTAGTAATAGTCGGTAAAGTCACCACATTTCATGTGGCGCAGGAATTCTTCATCGTGCGTGATGACAATCAACTGGAAATTAGCCTGCTGTTGACGAGTGCGGATAATGTCATGCAGCGACTCCGCCAGAGAGCGAATATTATCTCGGTCTAGGTTCGTAGTGGGCTCATCAAGAGCAATGAGACCGCAATTGACACCGAAACATTCCGCAAGGGCAAGACGAATGATGATACTAGCCAGGACCTTTTGGCCTGCACTGCATCGACCTCGCATGTCCATCTCGGCGCCTGACTTGACCATACAGACGCGGTAGTTGTATGATCGATTGCCCTTGGCGTTCTCGTTGTCAGACCGGATGAGGATTGTGTCGACATCTGTTCCGCGATATGTTTTCTGCCACAGTTCGCCAGCGATAGCGTTGATTTCCGCCATCTTCAGGCCGTGGTATTGCATGATTGCTTTGTCAAGAGCGCCACCGTATCGAGCCAGGTCTTCGACGGCGGCTTTGGTGGTCTCCACTTTGATGTGGGATTCCTTGTATTTTGAAGATGCATCCTTATAATCTGTGTTCCAGTCCGCTAGCAACTGCATCAACTGATCGTCCTTGGACTTCATTTCGCCCATCTTGCTCGCCTGTTTGGCAGCAAGGGCATTGTGTTCACGAGTCCAGCGTTCTGACTCTTGCTTGAAACGGCCTCGGTCCACTTCAGCATTTTGCGCTTCCAAGTGCTCAACTTCTTCAGCAACTGTGTTGAGAGATCGAGTGGCTTGGCGATATGTCAAGTTGTCGGAGTATTGCCGCTTGGTGTTTTCGCTGTCCTTGAGTTGGGTCGAGATTTTGTTAATCTCCCTTGTGATCTCGCTTTGATCGGCTTCGAGTTTGCCAATTTCAGCTTCGATTTCTTGAAGCTCCTGCTTGCATCGTTGAAGTTGGCCCGGACCTCCCCGTTGATTGTACGAGTTGATGTCATCATTGGCAAGGTCAAGCTGATTGATGTTCTCAGATAAGCGGCTGATCTCGTGCTGCAGATCTCGTTCACGCTCGTCGGCTCGCTGACTGATATCATCGTAACGGGCTTGGGCTTGAAGCAATTCTGGCGTGAGACTTTCGATATCTCGATCTGCCTTCTCAATTGCGTCCCGCTGCTGATTATTGAGTTTCTTGAATTCCTCAATCCGGACGATCAGGTCCGCTTTCTTTTCCAGCTGGAATTTGGCATTGTCTAGGTTGCTCTTCACATCTCTGAATTCTAGCTCGAGCTTGTTGATCTCTGACCGTGTCTTTTCTTTCTCATTTGTCACTTTTGTAAGAGTCTTTTTCAACTCTCGTGACTTTTCATTGATGGAGGCAATTTCCTCCTGAATGTCTTCCAGGGTACGGGCAGTTGAAGGGTCTTGCTGCTTTGCAGAAAGCTCTTGAATTTGTGATTTGATCGTCTTGATCTCCACATCGTAACGCGCGATAGTGCTCACTGTCTTAGAAAGCCCCTCGACATCACGCTTGCTTTCTGTCTTCTCGCTGACTTTTCCGTCGTGGGTTTCTAGTTTCTCTAGAAGTTGGTCACGCTGGGATTCGGATTCTTGCTCCTCTTGTTGAAGCTCTGGGATGACGGTCTCTGACAAGCGGACCCAGGTGTCGTATGATGCACTAGCAGCGCGAGCAGTTTCGAGATCTTCTTCAAGGCTCTTCAGGGTCTCGTCTTCGGCATCAAGGCCAGCCTTCTTGACTAGGGCATCCAACTTCTTTGTGAAGGTCTGGAGTTCTGCATCGTTCTTGAACGATCTTTGACATGTTCGGCACAGCTTGGTGCGCTTAGCAGCGTCAAGACATTTTGTAAGATACTCTCCCATTCCGGCATATTGATCAGCGTCTTTGCGAGCGAGATCATACTGTGCCTGGCGCTCCTTCACAATTTCAGGGTATTCGGAAGGCTCTGCGTCGACTGCTTCGTGGATTTCCTTCACGCATCCATCAAGTTCCTTTTGACGCTGCTTGAGGTTCCTCTTGGCAGTCTTGAGCTTGAACTCTACATGCTCCAATTCTCGGCTCACGCCGTCGCGCTGTCGCTCTGCATCGGCCACCTGCTTTGATTCGCTATCGAGAGCTTGCTGGAAGCCTCGCTCTAATGTATCCGGCTTCCAGTCGGGACCAACGACCTTCTCGAGGCGATCGCTATGAGCTCCTCTCATCGTCTGTAGGCTGCGTTCGCGGTCCTTCAATTCTTTCTTGAGGTGGTCTAAGCGAGCCAAGTCCCCAGCCTTCTTGGTTGATTCAATGAGCTCGGTATTCAATCTCGAGCTTTCATCCTCAAGGCGCCGAATTTCCGCATTGGTATCCTGGATATCTTGATCCCAGGAAGCAGTTTTGGCTCGCTCTTTCGCGTGCTCAAGGTTCGACGTGATATCCTCCACCTTTGACTCAAGCGCAGCCTGTAAGCCCTCATCAACCTCGATTTCATTGAGCTTTTTTTGATGGGTTGTTGCCTCCTTGTCATTCGCAGCAATCTGTCGTTTTGCCGCGTGCTTGGTCTCTTGGAGTGCGGACTTGGTTTGCCCAATCTCATTCAATTTTTCTTGAACCTCGCGGAGCTCTTTCTGGGCTTCACGCCTCACACGATCCAGAGATTGGTTCTGGTCTTTTAAGAGGCGTTTGATCTTCTGCATGAAGGTGTCAATTTCAGACTGATCCATCTTCTCGCCAATACCACGGATGTTGTTGGCACGAGCAATCTCATTAATCATGTTCTGACGCCTTTGAGACTGACGCTCAAAGTTGGCCTTGTCGTTCTCAAACTTTCCATTCTCAGCTTGTTTCAGCCCAAGGCGGTGCCGAGTCTGCTCAATCTGCTCCTTAATTTCCATATAGCTTTCCTTTTCTGACTCTTCTTGTTGCTGGTATTGGACCTGCTTCACTTCGAATTGCTCCAGGGTAGATTCAAGCCATTCATCGGACTCATCAAGCTCAACTAGATGTCTCTTGAGGTTGTCAATGGTGGTTTGGATACTTTTAGCTTCGATGCGCTTGCCCTCAAGAGCACCGAGCACCTGGGCATAACTTTCTGATTGCGTCCAAGCCTTATCAGCAAGCTCCGCGACGCGCCGCATCTCTTGTGACATCCGCTGGGTCTCTTCGCGCAAGGCCTCGATTTCCTCTTGAAGCTTGATGGATCGTTTTTCAGCACGGTCTGCTTTGTCTTTGTCTTCTTTCGCATGCTGCTCCATAATCTTATATTTGCCAAGCTCCTCGTTCTGCTTCTTTCGCAGTGCTTTGATGTTGTCAATGGCCTTGGTGTACTTCATAGCCTCAAATATTTCGTCAAACCTCTTTTTCAACACAGACGGTTCACTCATTGGCCACAGACTCTCGTCCTGATGGCAGAAAATGACCGAATCCAGTACGGCCTTTGAGACGCCCAGATACTGCGGCATGATTTGGTCCAGCTCAGCCACTCGCGATGAAATAGCTGTGCGCTCGCCGTTTTTGACCATAAGCAGCTGGCCTTCTAGGGTCTTCTGCTGTCGTGTGGTTTTCTTGACCGTAAGCTGTAGACTGCGCGTGGCAACCATTTTCGCTCCGGAAGTGGCCTTGAATGACAGCTTCACCTGGGCCAGTACCTCTTTTTCACCACATAGTTTCGGGTCGTGGATGAAAGCACCGCCTTTGCTGTTCGGAGGAAGATCACCCGTTGTGGCATATTTGAGACACTCGATGATAGTCTAGATCCACGTCAGTTCCCTGCTGGTCGCAACTCTAGTCGTCCATTTCGCCATTTCGTACCGTTTTTCCTGAGCCATTGTATCCGACAATCAATGTGAGAGGTGTGTGGAATTGGATCGTTTCGCTGCGCGTATTATCGAAGGAGCGGACTCTAGAACAAGCGTGGTTTTATGAGCATGAGTGTAATTACTCTCCGCAGTGGTCGCACTCGGATCAAAAGCTTTGAGAGACGTACCCCAGGATAGAGAGCTTATCAATCTTCGCTACAGTATGTTAGATGACCGTTTGTTCCTTTTTTTTTTCCCTCGCCGAGCTATAGTTGTTGCACTTACACCTAAACCCCAGTTAGCATCGCGACACGAGACGGGAATGATCGGCACGTACATTTCGAACAAAAGCTATGAGAGGGGCGTGTGAGCCCGTTGGCCTTTAGCTTTATTGAATACAGTCGAATAAAAAGCCAAACAGAGAGAGAGCTGAGAAACGAAAGTGCTCCGATCGCCGTTGAATGTGATTGATCACATAGTCCCGCGTCGAGGCGACACGAAATCACGTGGATTGCACTAAAGTGCTGCGGGCCCACAGGGATCGGCGGCTTTTTGTCAACCAGCAATGGCCGGCTCTTATTTCCAGAGTTCTGTCTTTTCGAGGAGATCCAGACCATCAGTGAGACGATGTGCATATTCTGAGAGGCGCATCGTCCCACCCCCTCTTGTCTGAATGAACCGAACGTACTGTCTCGAATCTGGAGAATGAACCGTTCCATTTTCAACGCTCACTCTACTATATCCGTCCC